GATGTTGTTAAAGAAACCAATTGTGATATTTCTAAAAATGTGGTTTTATCTGATTTTAATACTGTTATGGGATGCATTCCAGCAGATTATAAGAAAGTGATTTTAACTAATGTACATACAAATATCAGAACAGAGTCCAGGCCATATGTTACTTATGTAGATGTTAATGGGACTACTGTACAGTTACATCCCAGGACTACTCGGGATATTTACGCCTGTTTCATTCGCTACTGCTTCAAAAGTCCCAAATCATCGGGATATTGGTCAGAGATTTTTCAAAATGTTTATCTTCCACAGGTTTTTTCAATTATGTATATGCCATTTCTACCTTCTGATATAATTGATGTTCATTATCGTATTGCACATAACTCTATATTTACGATGGAGAAGTTAAAGAAAATTGGCAAAGTAGATAGCGATACATGTCTGTTGTGCGATTCTGAGACGGAAACTTTAATGCATTTGTTTGTAGATTGTTCAGAACTTTCTGATTTTTTGGCTTATATCAATACGTTAACAAAGATACTTTTTTCAGATGCTGATCAGAGTTACCTTTCTGATTTTTCTCTCGGAAAACTCATACTTCTGGGTTATACCAGGAAGATTAAACATACGAATGTTTTTTTCATCAACTTCTTTTTAGGAGTAGTGCGTTTTTGCGTTCTTAAAAGGCGTAATCTGGTGGTACATAAAATGACAAAAGTGAATATAAAGAACTTTTTTATGTTAACATTTCGTAAATATTTTGATTATATCAAACACTACTACCTCATGAAGAAGAAATGTGTTCTATTCAAGAAATATTTTGTTGCTGACAATAAATTATTGAGGGCTGTAGATTTATCTTCAGGCACTGAAAATATCCTATCTTATGCATTATCATTATGATTAAGTTGTCGTTTTTCAACTAATTTGTAAATGAGCGATGACATACCTTTTATAACCATGCTTATTTCATGTAGAAATGTACTTCTGTGATTTTTGAGTGTTTAAATATGTGTTTTATGTGAACTGTGAGGAGCCGACGGGGCCCCAACCCCGGAGATCCTATTTGCTGGGACTAATAAAAGTTCATTTTAAAAGAAAAAAAAATCACGTCTGCTTCACACGCAGAAGGTCGCGAGTTCGAGCCTCGCCGAAACCTTTTCTATATTTTTGCATAGATTTTTTAATGTAACAAAATGCCATAGTTGTATTTAGTGAAAGTAGAAAACAATTTTACAATGAACAAACCTCTTCTTCGTAATCCTTTTTAGATTTGGCGAGCGGCTTTATTTGAAATTGTTAGAAATAGGAAAAAGTATCAAGAACTATTTCTTTAATAAATCTAGTCTTTTGGCATAATGATATACAAAGGCAGTATTTGAAAACACACAACACACGTATCATTTTTCAAAATGAAGTTACGGGATAGAGTCAGACAACTTTTCAAAATGTTAAAACTTCTCGAAAAGTAACCCCGATCAAATATATCAGGTTAAATTTCCATCGATTAGGCCACTATTTGCCTTGATCATACCAAGGAGAAAAAAATACATCTTGATCAGGGTTTTTTCGTGTAGTGGTTATTATGTTAGCTTATGATTGGTAACGCTGACAATGATGGATTGTCCGTGTGTGAAGGAGAAATCGAGACTAGGCAACACTTGTCGGATTTTTCTAATCATAATGAATTGATGTTGTACGTAAGAGTTTAATTATAAAACTGCGTTCATCAAGTAACGTAGTTTACTGGTGTAGCTTGTCTTTCGTGGTTACAGTAACGTAGGATAATTTACTGGTGTAGCTTGTCCTTTGTGGTTACAGTAACGTAGGATAGTTTACTGGTGTAGCTTGTCCTTCGTGGTAACAGTAACGTAGGATAGTTTAGTGGTGTAGCTTGTCCTTCGTGGTTACAGTCCACTGTTAGGAGTTGTAACGTAGTCTAGTTTACTGGTGTAGCTTGTCCTTTGTGGTTACAGTAACGTAGGATAGATTACTTGTGTAGCTTGTCCTTCGTGGTTATAGTAACGTAGGATATTTTACTGGTGTAGCTTGTCCTTCGTGCTTACAGTAACGTAGAATAGTTTACTGATGTAGTTTGTCCTTCGTGGTTATAGTAACTTAGGATAGTTTACTGGTGTAGCTTGTCTTTCGTGGTTACAGTAACGTAGGATAGTTACTGGCGTAGCTTGTCCTTCGTGGTTACAGCAACGTAGAATAGTTTACTGGGGTAGCTTGTCCTTCGTGGTAACAGTAACGTAGGATAGTTTCGTGGTGTAGCTTGTCCTTCGTGGTTGTAGTAACGTAGGATAGTTTACTGGTGGAGCTTGTCCTTCGTGGTTACAGTCCACTGTTAGGAGTTGTAACGTAGCATAGTTTACTGGTGTAGCTTGTCTTTCGTGGTTACAGTAACGTAGGATTGTTTACTGGTGTAGCTTGTCCTTTGTGGTTACAGTAACGTAGGATAGGTTACTGGTGTAGCTTGTCCTTCGCGGTTACAGTAATGTTGAATAGTTTACAGGTGAAGTTTGTCCTTCGTGGTTATAGTAACGTAGGATAGTTTACTGGTGTAGCTTGTCCTTCGTGGTTACAGTAATGTTGAATAGTTTACAGGTGTAGTTTGTCCTTCGTGGTTATAGTAACGTAGGATAGTTTACTGGTGTAGCCTGTCCTTCGTGGTTACAGTAACGTAGAATAGTTTACTGGTGTAGCTTGTCCTTCGTGGTTACAGTAACGTAGAATAGTTTACTGGTGTAGTTTGTCCTTCGTGGTTATAGTAACTTAGGATAGTTTACTGGTGTAGCTTGTCCTTCGTGGTTACAGTAACGTAGAATAGTTTACTAATGTAGCTTGTCCTTCGTGGTTACAGTCTACTGTTAGGAGTTTTTACGTAGAATAGTTTACTGGTGTAGCTTGTCCTTCATGGTTAGAGTAACGTATAATAGTTTACTGGTGTAGCTTGTCCTTCGTGGTTACAGTTCACTGTTAGGAGTTGCAACGTAGAATAGTTTACTGGTGTAGCTTGTCCTCCGTGGTTACAGTCCACTGTTAAGAGTTGTAACGTAGACTAGTTTACTGGTGTAGCTTGTCCTTCGTGGTTACAGTCCACTGTTAGGAGTTGCTTGTTTCTGTTTTTGTATGAGACATGATTCTTGAATGAATACTATACCAAGTATTGAAATAAAAAAGTCCTTTTATTACACATTTTGATTAATACATCCTAATACATTATAAACATAATAATTTATCATCATTTGAAAAAGATGAAAATATATAGATCTATGATTTGTAAGTATTTATGCTGAAATTGTAAATATGCCAAACGAGACTTTAACAACCCATCATGTGCTCAATTGAACAGAACGCCTCAAGACAAACAACATGGCGGACGGATACGTTTATCTGTAGGCAGATCACGACCCAGTCGATAGTATCACTATATTTTCTATATTCCAGAGTAAAAGTACAAGCATACCATGTTGTTGAGTTATATTGGCACAACTTATATTGTCTGCGTCATAATAAAGATAACCACAATCTAAAGCAGTTAAAATATGTAGCCTCCAGGAGAGCACCACTTAACTAATAACAACGGTTTGTTAGTCATCAGTGTATATTAGATTCATCCATACTCAAACAAATGATTCATTTTATTTTAAAAAAACAACACAACTCAACAACATGGTATATTAAGATTGAGTAGTTTAAGACAGTGTTTTAGTCATAAAATAGTAACAACAATAAAGGCAACAACGCTGAATGTTTTCGTATATTAACAATGATGAAATTATTTTATATTATTCAAGATACAATTGTATACAAAATATCAACAAATATCGGTTTAACACTTAGTTCATCCTAGTTCTATGCGAACCAGGAACAACGTAAATGTTAAGGAAAGGTCTTTTATATAAAAGTTAGGTTTTTTTTAAGATCCATATCTTTTACCGTAGATTATGTGTTGGCGCTGTAACCTGTGTCTTTTTTTCATCATGATATATACATGATGTGTTACCACAGTTCAAACAATATAACAGGGAAGTTTATCGAGGTCCCCGGTCTCCGTCGTTGTCATCGTACATCGACACATTCATACAAACGTGACTCCGACTTTCAGTTTTATACTGACGTTCTGCATGATCTCTTCAAACTCGTCGATTTTAAAGCTTTAGATATCCATAGATGCTTATGAATCCTGTGTGTGAGTAGCTGATAGATAAAGTAAAGGTATTTGGATGTTTAAACAGGCTTACAATGGATCACACGAGTGGGTAGCTGGCCATAGATGCGATTCCACACTGGTTGTTCGCGTTCCGCGACATCATGACATATCCCTGGTCTCCCCAAAGAGCTCCCCAACTAAAACACCAAAAATAATTTACTTAAAACTTTCGTTTTGTTTACATTTCATTTCGCTTTCTTTCAACGTATTACTACAAAATTCACACATATATCTAATTAGTTCATATATATCTAACGTAAAATAACAACATAGCCATCCGAATGGAGAATGCCATTCTACATCAATTAATTTTCTGTATTTATCCGCCATGGTTATTAAGCTGGACAATTGATTCCTCAAACCATGCACGACAAACAAAGTTATGTTGCGTTATTGATCAACAATTTCCGAGGAATGTGGTTCTGTAAAAAAATAGCACCTTTGTGTTAAACATAATTGGAAACAATTATGTGTAAACATAAAAAGAAGAAGGTACATTATATATGGAAATTAATCTTGTATGACCGAATTACCTATTTTTGACGATCCACATGTCGTTGGCATTAAGGGATCCGTAACCAACAACAAGTACACCGTGGTCTAGTTGTGTAGAGCTGCAGCTAGGCTCGTCATAAACACCTGTAATTTACATATCACGTCCAATTAACTGTCTCCTTCCAGGAAAGAAATCATCACAATTTACCCTGGTTTTTAAGCTCACTGGCTGCAGCCAAGGACAAATGCTCTTGTCATTAAAATATGTTTAAAGGTGTTCAATAATGATACAAATATTGACATTATCATAGGTTGGATCCAAACTAGTAGCCCAATTCCCTTAATCCGTAGGTCAGATATGGACACATTTCTCTTTATTTTTAATGTCCTTTGGCATTTGTCATCAAATTTACTTAAAATGATCAATAGATTCGGACGGTCACCCCTGTTACCATAGCTTACTTAAAGGGGTACTGTAATCAATTATCACTTTCACATTAAATATGTAATTGATTTCATGCGGAATATATCGAAAGTCGTGCGATAATTTACACACTAATACCAAGAAAACAAAGGAGTTATGAAAAAACATCTTAATCATTATTTTTCTCTAGCCAAAATAAGTCACAGCTGGCACTAATAGAAACGTTGAGCTGTTACGTTTTGATGAAACAGTATGGCTAATGTCCTAAGAAATGATGATCTCTCTCTTACCGCCAGCATATTGCTGAAACGAGGGATGGCTGGCGTCTATAGCAACGGATATCGGTCCTATGGCGGCCACGGCTTCCAGTAATTGTGTTTCACTATTGGCTTGTATATCAACCATCCCGGTACACTTTGCCACCACCTTCGTGGGGTCGTACTGACAGACCCCGTCCTGTTTAACATATTACCGATACACAATAGTTTAAATAAATTACCGTAAAGTCTGTCACTATACTCTACTTTGAATTAATTAATAATTAAATAAAAATAACATAACATGATACTTATTCTTTGACCTGTACTATGCGTATATAGGGACTGAACTGTAACTTTTGAAATTTTCGCAGCCAAAGAATTTGACAAATTTTCGAGGCAATCCGCCTCTTTATCAAGACAAAGGACATAATGCTACATTACCAAATACATAACAAAAACAACAGTTATCACTTATATAATATGCTGATGATGACGCCCTTCGGTCGGCTGGTAGCCGAAGGCTAATGACAGTGAGGAATGCATCATGAGCTCTTTAAATTGAAAGTGAAAATGTAAATAAAGCAGTTCATTAAGACAGCACAATAAAAAAAAAGTAAGTATAATTGTAAAATATACAAAACAATCGTTATTGAAAGGAAGCTTATTAATTTTATACCAGGAACTTGTGATATGTACACACCTTGGCAGTATACGGATATGCGGCTTCCGATTCTATACCGTTATCTGCTATATACCGGAAGGCGTTATCCATGAGTCCTCCATTACATCCTTGGTTACCATAACTAGTAGAACAGTCGTTCAACTGCTGTTCGCTCAGAGCTATCAATGTCCCGGTCTTTTTGAAATGTTGTCCCTCAAGAGATCCGGTCTGTAAGTAAATCTTGACTGGGCTACTCAATTCATTGTTTTGCACGGATTTATTCTTAGTGTGCCTTTCTACCGTATAACAAAAATAAAGTGGTTGGTACGAATTTTTCCCTTTACACTCCAAGATATAACAAGCATCCAAGAGTAACAAATAAATAAGCATTTAAGTGCGTCTCTTTGTGCGTAGTCAGTATGAACGGAATTAAATAGAACTAACCAAAAGTGACATTATAAAACTAGTACGGATGACAAATAGTTTAGCCTTTCTGCCCATGTGTTAAAACAACCTTATATGCAAGACAAGAGCTCGAAACATGTGTTCGTATCCGTCCAGATTCAGTGTCTTAAGATTGTAGTGACGATTAGCATGCAAGGACCCGATATTGTCCTGGCACATGTAAATCGTAATTATAACTAATATTTTACGATCTAGAATAATTACACAATATAGGGGTGTATATATTATATACTTACAGCACTGAACGCCCAGCAAGCGCCGCACTGGCCCTGAACGTCAATGAAATGACTGATATCACATCCATTTTTATCATTTAAAATGTACATGACATTAAGTGATTACACCTATTTAATACATTTTGAGTATGTAACCTAATGTGACGTCATAGACGATAATAAAATGACGGTATTAGATATGGAGCCAAGATGGCGGAATAGTAATTTCAACAATAACCTGGTAAAACTTGATTTCCCAATAATGGATCATTGGACAAAAAATCTTAGATTCGTTTCAATTTTATAAATACGCTGTATAATTATAATGCAATATATTTAAAAGCAAAACCTATGAAAAGACAGTTACTTGGCAAAGATGATTAAAACGGAATCATGGTATTTTATAAGGAATTAAGGTTTTAATGTAAAAACAGTATTTTCACTTTTACAAGAAATAAAAAATATAAATTTGCTTAAATGTTCTTTATGAATATTACTACTTTCCATTTATGGTTACATATTTATACAGTTCTATTCAGTTATACTAAATCCTGTTTTCATCCATAACTTTATGATCTTTATCATCATACAAAGTGAGATTTTAAGTATAATAGTTCCTCACCTGGTTTTTCACTGGTGTTACGTAACCAAGCGTACGCCAGTCGACTTCTGCTGGTGCCACGAGATGGCTAGGTCGTAGAAATGTTGAAGCCGTGTTTTGATCACTTTTACGAACCATATAGGAACCCAGCCATTTTGAGTATTCCATCGAGTCCTGAAAATGAAATAAGTAATCTGATTACATAAAGTATTATCAAGGGTTTTCATACTGTAACAACTATAACGGCCATGTCGACTACCAACACATAGAGAATATGGTTGACAATCATAGTATCGGAAAATATGTCATCAGTGTCATTTATCAGATTATCGAACAACATTTATTACATACTTACTAATAAATACGGGGTTTTTTGTATATGCGATACGACACAATTGCTCTAACCCATATCAGCCCTCGCCGTATCACACCCCAAAACCCGTATCAGCCCCCGCCGTATCACACCCCAAAACCCATATCAGCCCGCAAAACCCATATCACACCCCATTTGGAAAAAAAATCATTTTTAGGCCCTTGGGTGTGATATGGAAAAAGGCATGTATTATTCTCTATATATCATTGTTTATTATATGGATATAGGATAACATATCGGGCAATATTTCAACATTGTTGTCTCAGGGTATCGGACGAGATATGACCGTTGTTGTTTATCATAGTGTGAATAAGATCTTGTCACATTAACCGTTCCATGAAATTGACACTGTTTAATCCTATCACATTCAGAAGACATTCACACAACCTGTGAATGTCGTGACCCAATTGCTGATATCATCATCATTATGACGTCATACTTGTTACGTTGGATACCAATGACTGGCCCTGGACAGATGGATGATCTATGTATTTAACGGGCATATACAATAAATACATTATTTGAACTAAACGCTGAATATACTCTCATACTAAAAAAGTTGCCTATCATGATGTTATCTACTCATATATGTAGCCCTATTTGGGTTAACTATGTATATATAACTAGCTAAACATAGGCTATTGTAGTCGCATACAGTAACTCTAGACGTACACATTTTTTGTCTAGCTATGTATAGCGTACCCATGCCGTATATATATATATAAATATAGGTTACTCAAGTCGTAGATAGGTAACTCGTACTATAGAAGTCATAAATAAGTTACACAAACTATAGATATGTTACTTAATCCATGGAGATGTTACTCAAGACATATATAGCTTAGTCAAGCCATAAATATGTTATTCAAGTCATAGATAGGTTACGCAATTCATGATTTACCTTACTCAAGACATATACAAGCTACTCAAGATATATAGAAGGTGCTTCATATAAAAAAGAAACAAACCATGTCAGTAAATTGGTTGATTCCAAGAAAGAACTTGTTCTGTCCAGCTACATACAACTTGTTATGCTCCTCTATTATCTTAACATTTGTCTTGAATATCTCAAACTTCCTTGACCTTTCTTGAACAGTCGGGTAACTCTTATCTGAAATATGCAAGATATGTAATTAACTAAATACTCAAATAAATACACACACTCAAATTTATAACTGCTAGGAGTGTTGAATGGTGAAGTTAAACAGTTGTATTGTAGGTATGTACTAGTAGCTAGGTAGCCTCAGTGATACAGTTGTATTGTAGGTATGTACTAGTAGCTAGGTAGCCTCAGTATTTACATATGTAGCTTCAATGTTTACATGTAATACAGTGTTGTAGAAACTAGTATGTAGCTTCAATGTTTATTTATACATTTATTACAGTTTAAGCACTAGAGTGAAGTAACACACCTTTCAAAAATTATAAATGAAATAATAAACCGATCTTTTTCATTATAACAATATGTTTACACCCTCTTGGTCGTCCCAAAAAAGTGCATTGTCAATACGAAACAAAATCAAGTCACGTTTCAATAAGGACGCCGTCGTCCCTATGCGGTTCACATTACCGTATTTTGTTTCATGCGAACACATGCAGAAAGTTTTTAAGATTGTGGCATGGTTTATGTTATTCAACGGATAAAATTGAAATAGCACTTACCTTGTCCCATACACAATATATCAGGTTATTTACATACAGGCTTACCAACAGAAGTTCCGTCATTATAAACAGCTAAGCCGATAGATAACGGAGCAGCATTGTTTAGCTTTATCTTATTAAGAGTCTGTTCACAAGGCTGTTTTTGTTCAATCTGAAGGAAAAAAGTATCCTCGTGACTGATATTCTCTTACAGAGTATTAATAGCTACATTTAGAATAGCGGTGTACCACGGTATACCATTTCAAATAATTAGCCCGAGTTTTCTCTGGCCCCGATACCAGTCTGAAACATTTTGACAGATAGATGTCTGATGTCATAATTTTCTAAGACAGAGGAAACTTGGGCTACTCAAACATGTCATTAAGGATTATACTTCTCATAAATCTCATTTCAGTCCTTACTGTGGTTTACTTGGAACTCTACAAATTTGATGTGATATGGTGAGAGGTCCGTAGGTGCATTCTTTGCCGTCTGAGTTACTTGATACCATTCCTCCACATTTGGTAAAGCAGCGACAACCGTCAACATGCAGCAAAGGATGGCCAACATCATATCTAGGACAACAGTATACATCCTTACAGTCAACTTATTATGCGGAAAGATCAAAGACTATCCAGTAAAACATTGTCATCAAAATCCATGATATTTTCAATATCTGTCCTACCTTCGTCAAATCCAATACCCAAATTTATGAAAATCATTAATTGTATTATAAATACCTGCTTGGACGATGAGACTTTTTCAACAGTGATGTATCCAGGGGGAGAAATGATGGACTGGATAGGGACGGGTACGCTCATCCCATATGACAGGTAGTCTTGTGTCTTGTGACTGTATGCTGTGTTATCTAAAGCTCGGTTAGCTTTCTCTCCCTTTGACAAAAGCACAGATCAACACACCTGGTATATGGTATTTATGTTTAACTTTGATTTGAGAGCAATTTTTTTTTACAAAAATCATCTGTAACATTCTACACCAGTTTACAATATATCTTACAGTGTTTTGTTTAAAATATAATTTCCAGAGTGTTTGTTTGTAGGTTGAAGAATGAAAAATAATTTGTTTTTCTGTCCACGAAGTCATGTGAACAGAACAAGTGGTGTGCTGTTCACACGGTTGAGCAACTGGAACATACTATAAATAGGAGACACGAGGTATTAGAACATTTTAAGTGCACTATGAAGTCTCTTGTGGTTTATATTTGTTTTTATTCGTCAGTGTAGATAACCATTGACACGAGAGGTTCTTACGTGTACGTCCTAAGACAAGCAGATGTGGACTAATTCCTCAACATTGATAGAGGAAGCTATAGAGTATACACAACAATTGTCTCGGAGTCACATACCTATGTGTGCACGTCTTATTATTTATCTACTGAACCAAATCATTGTATAACAATTTGTTTATTTCTTTACGTTTTTTTCACGGTTTGTGCGGGTTAACATCATTTAAAATACATATGTACTAAATATGGACAATCAAAAGCACTATTAACACATTTGTAAAGAAATACACAGTCTAAAAATGCCCGCCTATGTTCGAGGCTAGGAAGATTAAAATGCCTACAAGTGTCAGCGTAAGACATGTAATTGTCGTCAACGTGTGCCTTAAAACATAAAAATTTCAAAAATTTACGCTGGACAACTTCGACCTGGTGAATTAAAGATGTTTGGTAAGGAGTCCAGATCTGACAACAGTATTCTAACTGACTCCTGACAAGACTTATATATAGAGACCTTAAAACAGGTATTTGTTTAAAACTTTTACATGTACGTTTTATAAAACCTAGCATTCGCATTGATTTGGAAACAGTACGTCTAATATGGGTACTAAAACTCATTGAAGAGGTCAGCCAAACACCAAGATCTTTCACGTACCATTCATTCTTCAGGTTGTCACCGTTCATAGTGTAATTAAAATTCATACATTTCTTCTTGTTTGTGAAAATGACCTGGCAGCACTTCTTCACATTCGATTTCATTTTCCACACAGTGCACCAATCATACACTCTATCTATATCGCTCTGTAGCTGCTCACACTCAGACAACGTTCTTACACACTTAAAAATTTGCTGTCGTCGGCAAACATAAGAGATTTAGAAAATTTCAGAATGGATGGCAGTTCATTGATAAAAATAAGGAAAAGTTTAGGTCCAAGTATCGAACCTTGAACCGGAAGTTACTGAAAAATTAGTATATACAGCATGTAATTCTACTTTTTTATCAAAGACTTTGGAAATCTGATCGGTGAAACATGCAAGGTTTGAAACAGTAGACCTTTTTGGCATAAAACCATGTTGCTCATCGCAGATAAGCGGATTTATAAAATTAGAAAAATGTACGTCAACCAGTTTTACAAATATTTGCGGAAGATCACAATCGTCGTCCATACAGAACACACTTTTGAAGAAAGCGTTAAACATATCTGCTGTTTCAACATTGTTGGAAGACGACGATGAACAGTCCGAAACAGAGTCCGGGACTGTCCCCTCCTTCCGCTTTCCTTTCACAAATCCCCAAAAACGTTTGGGATTGTCTTTTACAGAATGTTCAACATTGGTGATAAAATCACAGTATTTCGATGTTTGGAGTGATTTGAACTCCTGCCGTAGGGAAGAAAAAATAGCATACTCAGGACCATTTATGTTACATTCCGTACATATATATAGTACCATTTATGTTACATTGTGTACATATCTAGAGTACCATTTATGTTACATTGTGTACATATCTATATACCATTTATGTTATATTGCGTACATATCTATTGTACCATTTATGTTACATTGTGTACATATCTAGAGTACCATTTATGTTACATTGTGTACATATCTATTATACCATTTATGTTACATTGTGTACATATCTATTATACCATTTATGTTACAGTGCGTACATATCTATAGTACCATTTATGTTACATTGCGTACATATCTATAGTACCATTTATGTTACATTGCGTACATATCTATAGTACCATTTATGTTACATTGCGTACATATCTATAGTACCATTTATGTTACATTGCGTACATATCTATAGTACCATTTATGTTACATTGCGTACATATCTATAGTACCATTTATGTTACATTGCGTACATATCTATAGTACCATTTATGTTACATTGCGTACATATCTATAGTACCATTTATGTTACATTGCGTACATATCTATAGTACCATTTATGTTACATTGCGTACATATCTATAGTACCATTTATGTTACATTGCGTACATATCTATAGTACCATTTATGTTACATTGCGTACATATCTATAGTACCATTTATGTTACATTGCGTACATATCTATAGTACCATTTATGTTACATTGCGTACATATCTATAGTACCATTTATGTTACATTGCGTACATATCTATTATACCATTTATGTTACATTGCGTACATATCTATAGTACCATTTATGTTACATTGCGTACATATCTATAGTACCATTTATGTTACATTGCGTACATATCTATAGTACCATTTATGTTACATTGCGTACATATCTATAGTACCATTTATGTTACATTGCGTACATATCTATAGTACCATTTATGTTACATTGCGTACATATCTATAGTACCATTTATGTTACATTGCGTACATATCTATAGTACCATTTATGTTACATTGCGTACATATCTATAGTACCATTTATGTTACATTGCGTACATATCTATAGTACCATTTATGTTACATTGCGTACATATCTATAGTACCATTTATGTTACATTGCGTACATATCTATAGTACCATTTATGTTACATTGCGTACATATCTATAGTACCATTTATGTTACATTGCGTACATATCTATAGTACCATTTATGTTACATTGCGTACATATCTATTGTACCATTTATGTTACATTGCGTACATATCTATAGTACCATTTATGTTACATTGCGTACATATATATAGTACCATTGATGTTACATTTCCTACATATCTATCGTACCATTTATGTTACATTGCGTACATATCTATTATACCATTGATGTTACATTGCGTACATATCTATAGTACCATTTATGTTACATTGTGTTCATATCTATAGTACCATTTATGTTACATTGTGTTCATATCTATAGTACCATTTATGTTACATTTCGTACATATCTATCGTACCATTTATGTAACATTGTGTACATATCTATAGTACCATTTATGTTACATTTCGTACATATCTATCGTACCATTTATGTAACATTGTGTACATATATAAAGTACGATTTATGTCACATTGTGTACATATCTATTGTAACATTTATGTTACCTTGCGTACATATCTATTATACCATTTATGTTACATTGCGTACATATCTATTATTCCATTTATGTTACATTGCGTACATATCTATAGTACCATTTATGTTACCTTGCGTACATATCTATTGTACCATTTATGTTACCTTGCGTACATATCTATAGTACCATTTATGTTACCTTGCGTACATATCTATCATACCATTTATGTTACATTGTGTACATATCTATTGTACCATTTATGTTACCTTGCGTACATATCTATCATACCATTTATGTTACATTGTGTACATATCTATTATACCATTTATGTTACATTGCGTACATATATATAGTACCATTGATGTTACATTTCCTACATATCTATCGTACCTTTATGTTACATTGCGTACATATCTATTATACCATTGATGTTACATTGCGTACATATAGTACCATTTATGTAACATTGCGTACATATCTATAGTACCATTTATGTTACATTGCATACATATCTATCGTACCATTTATGTAACATTGCGTACATATATAAAATACGATTTATGTCACATTGTGTACATATCTATTGTACCATTTGTGTTACCTTGCGTACATATCTATTATACCATTTATGTTACATTGAGTACATATCTATTATACCATTTATGTTACATTGCGTACATATCTATTATTCCATTTATGTTACATTGCGTACATATCTATAGTACCATTTATGTTACATTGTGTACATATCTATAGTACCATTTATATTACTTTGTGTACATATCTTTAGTACCATTTATGTTACATTGCGTACATATCTATAGTACCATTTATGATACATTGCGTACATATCTATAGTTAACAGTTAAAGTATGGGTATGATTGCTATACCCGAAATACCCATACTTCAACTGTTTTATTATACCGATACAAACACTCCCTTACAATATTCTAAATATTATTAGACAAAACTTTTTTCAACAGTTGGGACACTTTATTAACAAAACTACAACAATGCGATGTGAAGGTCGTCCCGCATTTTCAGAGGGAAATAGTTTCAAAACTATCCCACCCCTCCAGACGAACTATTTCCCTGGCATGCAGTTAGAGGGGCAAATAGCTTGTTTATGTGGTTACTTTTGTATAGTGTAAAATAAGTAGAGGTATAATAATTCCATTTATGTTACCTTGCGTACACTACATGTCTATAGTACCAAACGTCATTTGATAAACAAGTAAATAATAAAAATACTTAATATGCATATAGAGAAAATATTATTTAATATGAACAAATTGCAAACTCCACTTTGATGAACAAATTAAGTGATGCCATTGTTTAATATACACATAGTGTTAACGTTATTTCATAAAACATATTATTTAATATGCACATAGTGTAAAAGCTATTTAACAAACACTAATTAACATTTCAATTATTTATTTATCAGATTTCCACAACAGGGACAATCTGGCCGGCAACTTTAGTCGGTCCAAGAAATCGCGATATATCGGGAGACTCTGGTGTTTCCAAAATTACAATAATTTTGTTCTAGTTTGGTATGTGCGATCAATTAAATGATTGTTTTTGAAAACAGACAGTATCGACATGATCATTATTCATTTTTCATCAAGATCTGTAATGTCAGTTAGGACATGTTTCATCCATACCACAAAACACTGCGAATATATGTGTAAACTAATAAAGCCTTGCTCCATTGTTCAAAATAAAATCATATTGTATTCAAAGATATCTTAAACACTTGTTTTTGTATGGTAATAAATTAATTTTAATAAATCTGAAGTACGTTCACATCAAAATATAATAATTTAAAGAAATAAAAATGTTAACCATTATGCGTCAGTTTTTCATTTTTGCAAAAAATCGCTTTTTTCCGAAAAGGAAAGCTTGTGTGATCAATATTTACAGTAAGTTTCCATTTTTCAAAAATTGTCGTCAAATTGTCAGTGCGAGTTCATACTTGGAAAAAAAGAATATCGTGGTCATCATTTCCCCTAAAAAAACGATCAAACCAAGTTACCAAGTTTGGTCAAAAACGAAATGTATGTTTCGAGGCTTACTTAGTTGTTGATGTAGGCTAATGGCCTAGCTACATCGTAAAATTATATTCATATGTGATAAACGTTATTTAATTAGCATTTCATGACAAATAAATCTCGTTTATAACTAGCTAAGTTCGTATCAGCTATATTCTTTATCGTCAAGTAATAACCATAACTAAAGGTAAAAAGTGGAAATGACATAGAACATTTGTTCTTGAATAGAATATTTGCGTCTGACACCGAGCATGCACCTATATATTTTTTGACAGAAGATCGGAATAATGTGTATATAACTCCAAGAGGAAGACTCTATAGCCTAAATGGAATTTTCACCAAAAAAGTATGCTTGTTTTAGTAAGTAGTTTGTTTACACTCTCATACAATTTATCCGCATACAGGGTTATCTACTTCTTTTTGCACAGTGTAGAGACTATATACCAAGGCATTATCTTTATAGTACCCCCCTCTTTAAAGTGTATGTGTAAATGAGGTCTTGAGCAAATCTACTTTTGGATTACTATGATACAAATACCGCTGAAAGTTCATTTTTTTTAATAGACATAATTTTATTTATGTTGACATGTACGGGATCGTAATTCAGCAATCAGAAGAAATTGCGAATGGTACGTGTAGACATAGGCCACCTAACACGTTTTGTCTCATATTCTAAATATAGTAATAAGTATTCGGAACTCCTCGCATTTCTGCCTTGTGTTCCACTGTTACAATTAAACTAACTTTATATTTGTATTCGATACAGTTATACTCACTGTTGATAAATTCATGTTTAGTCTTGTGTATCAGTGTGTATCTGTAATCATATCCAGTTATAGGAACAGTCATATTTTATAACAAATATATTCATTTTACAACAGACTATTATTTAAGAACATTAAAGAACTCCTACTTACCATCTAGGTTCCGTGGTGTAGTGGTTATCACGTCTGCTTAACACGCAGAAGGTCACGAGTTCGAAACTCGTCGGAACCTGATGAGATTTTTTTCTCTCTCTCTTTTTTTGGTTTTTATAGTTTATTTTTGTCATTATTGTACTCAGTTTAGGGTAATCACCGTACCGAGAAGCTTTTCAGATTTTATCTATCTACTTAAAATATTTTAACAGTGATATCGTTTAATAAAATCGAATGAATAACAACAAAACAGTGATAATAGAGGCAAATTATAACATCATCATCAACGCACTCTCCTCCGTTCTCGACACTCCAGGGGTTACGCCGGGGTATCGAGGATGACCGTCCTCTAACATATGTATATCAAATTAACAGTTTTCACGGCAACAGTAAAGAATGTAAGATACAAGATACGTCTCTGGTACAACAAGATACAAGATACGTCCCTGGTACAACAAGACAAAAGATACGTCCCTGGTACAACAAGATAAAAGATACCTCCCTGGTACAACAAGATAAAAGATACCTCCCTGGTACAACAAGATAAAAGATACCTCCCTGGTACAACAAGATAAAAGATACCTCCCTGGTACAACAAGATAAAAGATACGTCTCTAGTACAACAAGATAAAAGATTCGTCTCTGGTAATACAAGATACGTCTCTGGTACAACAAGATAAAAGATACGTCTCTGGTACAACAAGATAAAAGATACGTCTCTGGTAATACAAGATACGTCTCTGGTACAACAAGATACAAGATACGTCTCTGGTGCAACAAGATAAAAGATACGTCTCTGGTACAACAAGATACAAGATACGTCTCTGGTACAACAAGATACAAGATACGTCCCTGGTACAACAAGATAAAAGATACGTCCCTGGTACAACAAGATAAAAGATACAAGAAACTGTATTTAAAGTCGCACACATGTAAACAAAGAACTTAAGCTCTAGAGCTGTTAATGCGACAAATATATTACAAGTAAAGGGAGATAATCAAATATATTTAGAAAAAGCAACAATCACAGAAAAAGGAAGTATCATATCCCAGGTTGCTAAGTGATTGGGAGTCCCCTTCCTACAAAGGCGTCCAGGATATGAAAATTTTGATACAATAAATATACAAAAATAGTGTAAATATGAAAAACAATGAATGTGATCACAGATAAGTAGTATTCATATTAAGTTAATAAAAGACATAGTTAATAGTGAATGAATACTTGTATATCACAGAAGAATTACTTAGGACTTAGGATTAAAACACTAACAAGTGGAATATGCATATAATGATAATATAGCAAAGAGTTAAAATTGACAGAATATAAACTAATATAGTGTAAAATGAAAAAAAATGGTACTAAAATTAATTAACAATTTGTCAAGTTTTGTAAACAAATATATATTTTAGAATGTATGGAATTAAAATAAGAATAAGATGCTACAAAAATATAGAACAGTATAAATAATAAACGAAATTAAATAAAACAACAATAGTATATATATATAATTCAAAATGTCAGGTGGCAGAGGTAACCAGGGCACAATATGAAGTATCACTCTTTACAGAGATGGGGCCATCCCGGGAATGGTAAAAGAGAAAAGTCAAAGAAAACTAGGAAATATAAAACTGTTTCACAACTGAAAATTCAGCAAGATTGAATGTTTAAACTAGATGGAAATGTTTTACATAATATCTATAACTGGACACTCTCCTACACTAACTCTCGCTTAGTGTCCTAACAAAGCACGCCTTGTATCTCAAAAGCCACAATGCCTACATGTTCATTATATGACTGGCCATACAACTGAGTTTCAGGTGACAACCAAATGTTGTGTTTCAGGTTTTTTGCCAAAGAAAATAAGGAAAGGTAGGTAGATAGGTAGGTAGGTAGGTAAGTAGGCAGGGTAGGTAGGTAGGTACGCAGGGTAGGTAGGTAGGTACACCTACCTCGATATCTATTGTTTACAAGTTTATATATCTAATTTCCTGTGAAACATACATTCAGATCAGACAAACACAATTGAACAATATATTAATCTTTAATATGGACAACATTTCTACCTAGAAATGGCATTCACCGGATCACTAGACGCCGTAGAGGGAGGTTATGTTAACCGTAGCTGTATTTAATTTCAAGACATCTAGCTACGTTACAGGGCTGTGTACTCTGCGCGTTTGTTCATCTAAAATAGATTGTGACTTTGATCACATCTCCAGACAAAAAGAATATTGTAAGTTTTGACACTTTGTTAGCCAAAATGGATTGTTATTTTGATCACTTAATTAGACAAAACATATTGTAAATTTTAACACTTAGTTAGCCTATACAGAGTGTTACTTTAGGACTTTTTTTGCCAAAACACTGAAAAACAGACTGTAAGTCTGAACAATGAATGCTGAATAAAGTCACTTAAATCTATAACTTATGAGGCCCATTATATATGTTAATGTTTGTCTTGGGTCGACAGATCATTTACACACCTTATGTAGTTGAATTGATGAAGTTCTCCGACGAATTTCTGTTTGCATCTCTGACAATGCGAACAACAACCAAATCTCGTATGTTATAACGATGGGTCCAACAGATAGAGGCTAATGTCTCTGTCACCTCCTTACACACCAAATAGACTGTATTTAATCTAGATTTAGTAACCTATCTTACTGCCTTCCGTATTATTTTTTAAAAAATACCCTCCAACTCCTTTTCGTGTTTGTGCTGCTTCCTTCCCCAGGGAAACTTTTGCAGTAAAGGTATCATGTTTGCCTTTCGTCTTTGTAACGAAAAACTGCGCAAAACACGTGTTACCCGTCCTGGCCCTGCTGCCAATCAAAGATCAAGTACATGTATATGTTAGAATACATTTCATAATGTACATGGATAATATTGTGTAATATTGTTCTATCTTATATCATTGTATTGTTATGTCTTATCTCCGATGTGTTGTAAAACACAAGGAATAAACCAAATCTGGAAATCACCAAGTGACGGACAATACACTGGACATAAGGTGTGACAACGTAAGTTAACCGCTTACACAGCGTGTGTCATGTAACTATAACAAGGATAGGTGTAAAGTGATTCAATCAATACGAAGTGTATACGTAGTAACATTATTTACTATGTACAGTGTATTTTACAATTTATGTTTAGTTATTTTCAATGTATTGTATCAAAATTTGATTTTGACAATTTATGTTGTAGCACGGACTTAGATAATCTGTGGTTGTAGGTAATGTGTTTATGTGTTGTAAAATAGGTTAACATTTGAACACTATATGTTGTCACATCTGTCGTCAATCGGAATAAAACCAGATATTTAATTCCCCTCCGATACTCTACGTAATTAAAGATAATCAGATTGACCTGTCGTGTTTCATTTGTTTTCGTTTTCAACAAACAAGATAAATCATGTTTTCTTCAAAAAATTCTTTATATATAACAAGGAAGCCAGTGGAACCGTCATAGCAGACACATAACAACGACAACAACCAACAGTCAGAATCGTGTACTAACCATCCTTCCCAAGTTCAGTCTCGGCGCACGATGAACGGATTGCTATGCCAACATCTCACAGAAGATGTCGACTCAGGTGAGATAATAAAATGGAAAGACAATCATTTCCACGCTAATAAAGGCGTCTGGTTGGTCAATAAACTTTGTCTACATGTCACATTATCACTATATATAAGATCATGGCGCGCGAAAATATACACAATCTACCATTAAAATTGAAATCAAAATAACTCGCTGTATTTTGCCTGGACTAATTGGTAATACTCTGCTTTGTTGAGAGGGTGCCACTCGCGGCCTAACAGAAAAGACATGGCTCGACAGAACATGCCTTTTTCCCAGTTGTTGTCAACGAAATTCCTGGCAGCCACGTCCGCCGTTATATCGTCAGGTAGATCATTGAGGTAGATTATCATGTCCTCTCGAATAAGTAAGTTCGGAAAGTTTCTTTTCTGGAAAGCAATGAGGAGAATGGTTGCACTCGACAGTGTTTCTTTGACCGTGAATGTTAGGAGTTTAGGGCAGCACTTGATAATGTCTAAGATATGCTCGTCGATTCTGTCAGAAAATTCCATGTCATCCGAATGGTTGTAAACGCGTTCACTTAAACTGAAATCCACCAGCTCGTCGAGTGTGTCCCCGTAATTACTGAGTATGCGGCCTAACTCTGGCCAGCACTTCACCCAGCGGTTTTTCCGATACACCAGCGATGACAGTGGCATGCTTGCTTTTAACAGTATCTCTTTCTCTGTCCACTCATGAAGGACGGCTAGTTGGCAGTGGACGCGCAGCTTTGGCCCACACTTCCGAATCTCTTTCCAATGAAAGTTGCTCAATGCCTCGTTGTAAAAGTCTTTCGTTTTGTAGTTTGCCATGATGTTTAACTGTCGGAGTGAACATCCGGCTAAATGTTTAAGTAAGCTAAAATTCATTTGGTTCGGATTGATTGTAAGCTCCTTCAAGTTCACCAAGTACATAAGATTGCTCAAAGAACAATCTTTGAATGAGTTCACGATACGCAACTTTTGCAAGCAGGAAGAATGTCCCAAACCAAGCGGAAGTGTTTCGTTCTTCTGTCCCTGGAAGTTTAGATCGTCTATACGCACGTTTGTCATCCTGACGTTTCTTTTACAAAATTGAAAGATGGCGGTTTTCAGACGACCTGAGAATGTCTCGCCTTCAATTCGTTTCAGGAGCGTTAACGAATTCACTTTGTGGCTCACCTTTGACAGACGATCGAATACCTCCGATGATTGAGTACCTTTCACTTCCAGTTCTACGTCTGTAAAGAATGCTCCATACATTTTGACGCAAAACAACAACTCTTCGTGGAACTTCCGATAGCGTTCAAAATCCTCCATAGATGCAGGCATAGTTAATGGAAACATAGATTCCCAAATCATCCTTTCGGAATACGAAAAAGACTTCCAGACTTCTGGTCGAGATGATGCCCGCCGCCAGTGCAAGCACGTGGACCGGATCGCAATTTTGCTAGCAATATCCAGGTTACTAAAAACGTTGCCAAGTACAACTTCCGGTAGAGCTTCCCAGCAAGCAGACATCTTTTATTCTGAAAGAAAACAAATGTCGGTCATTAAGCTAAACAATGTACTGTTCTGAAAAACAGTGAGCGAGTAGACATCACCTTATGCCAAAGACGAATAAGAATAACTTACAAAATGTAACGAGAGAAAAGTGTAAATTGAACGAACGACATTCTGTGACTTACGGAAGATTGTTAGTGCTATTGAAATGTCGACATCTTACTTGAATGTAGGTAAGCGGAAGTGCAATTTGATTAAAACCAGATCTTAAATTCTACTCCGATACTCTAAGTTCCAGACTGGAACGTAGAGAATCGGAGTGGAATTAAAGTTCTGGTTTAATCAGATTTGCGGAAGTGGGGCATGGAACTTAATCATGACGAATGTCCTTCATGTCGGGAAAGAATACTATTATAGATATAGCCGGCGTCATCACCTATATCAGCTAAAGGCATCAAATATCAAGGCATGGACGTATCTTTTTTCAAACCTGTCTGATCATTACATTAACATGATTTGCAAGAAAGACAGAAGCATTATAAATTTCTTTTTTGTAGATGCTAAAGTTTATATCACCGGTCAATCAGCTAAGACTAGTGTAAACTCCATCTTATAGAGATAAACTTGAGAATATTGTGCGTCAATTTGGAACAAATAAAATTATACACCAGGCCAAAGCAGTGTATCGGGCAACTGGAAATGGTGCGAAGATGAGCGTTATAGTGTATACGCCCGCTGCAGAAACACCAGTAGCGTGTCAGAAACGACACAGCTTGACGTGGGAATCATTACAGAGGAAGACCGAAGAAAAAGCTAACATCTACGTTTAAGATAGTTCACGACCTTGTAGATACCGGAACAGAGAGACATACGCAATCAATCTATGTTTCTACCTTTCCAATTAAACTAACAAAATTAATGTATATTGGCTTCCTTTTAGTCACTCATTTCAACATTTCTAGCCACGGGTACCGTATCGCGAAGAAGCAAAGGGTTGCTAATGCACCAATATATAGATTAGAGCATTACTATCGTTTTGCTCATTTGCGATAGGTTTCTGTGCTCTAACGTACAAACTATAAGGCGCCTAATTAGCTTGGTGGCATTGAAGCAGTGGCCTTCTTCTCAAACATTTTAATCGGTAGCTCTCTTCTCGGTGTTAACTTGTACCGAGTCTGCAGCTTTGTCGGTTAGGTTTTACCCGTATCCAATTATCCTCCCTCTTAAGTATTGGGGATTGAACATATTGATTGGGAGGACTATGTGTACGAATGTTTTTCCCCCGACTATGTATCGTATTTAGCAGACCATGTGCGTCTGGGCATCTCACTATGCCCGTCTCTCCAAAACCGGAACAGAGGTGGAGGCTGGGCGTTCTCTACTGACGTCACTGAGGATCTACCCGTTTCCTCAGTGACCATCATTCGTTCACTGTCATCCTCCCTCTTAAGTATTGGGGATAAAATAGATTGATTAGTTTAGTAATGTTCCACATCTGTGTAGATTACTAAAATAGGTTGCCGTTTCGGACTTGTCTGTCCCCAGTTATAACTATATGCCGAGTGGCCCAATGGTTGTACACTTAACTTGTTCTAGAAGTCCTGTCCTGCTGAACAGCGCTGTGTTGACGTACATTAATCAAATTTTGAACAACAACTAACTCAAAAGTTTATCGGTATTTTATTTAAGCTAAATTGATATCCTTGTCAAAGCGCTGCAAAATGTATGCTCAACAATGTTTGAAACAAACCCTGACAGGTGCGCGGAACTTATTTAATAGGGTAACATTTATCCCGAAGAAAGTTTAAGGCTTACCTTCTATTGTGTATCCAAAATCACTTAAATATCCTTACATCGCTATGTCAGGCACTGTCTGACATACGAAGAAATCATTTCTGACAAACAGCGCGGACAGTACAGTATGTGTATCCCCCAAAAAATTTAAATTACAACAACTATTTCAGGCAGTGTTACTAACTGTCACTTGACCGTTTTCGGAACATCTCTTCCTTATACATATAAAACTAGTACTGGCGTGTTCGGATAACGACACGTGATAATGAATATAGGCGCAAGGTTTATAAATATATATTACAATCAAACGAGTATGACATATATATGTCATATCAAGTAAACAGTGTGTTTACAACAGTGTACGTTGGAATATTGAAGTGCAATGTTGATATTTCTTATTCTAATTGAAGATGTGGGTTGAATATTCTTCACTCTTTTCATAAAAAATATCGAAATATTCAACCCAATCGTGATATAACGGCCATTCGTCAAGAAACCGAGAAAAGTCCTTTAAACAATATGTTTTTTTTTTAATGTAATCAACTGATTATACACGTTATTAACCGAAGTCAAATTTCTGCCATTGCGACGGGCTCTCCTGATCAAAACAGTGTTAAGTACAATGCTTGTTTCAAGATTAATCATAAAAATGTGGTGGCTAATGTGATAATTTTTCACATTAACTGTTAATGTTTACAAATGAACTTGCAGTGGAAATGTAAATATAAGAAATGTTATATGCAGACTTCCGTGCCGATTATTCTGTCATTTTCTTAGAGTACTCATGTCACTTAACCTAGCGCAATTTCGTTACGCCTGTCGGTAGTTATATTCAATAATTATATAATTCAGTTATTGTTCATAAATACGTATACCTATATTCCAGTGAAACTTGGGAATATTGACCTCACTAATTTCAAATACAGCGTATCTAGGTAAGCAATTGAAACAGTAATATATAGCTAGTTTTCTTTTTCTGTCAAGTAATGATAATTCTTCATTAAAAATTTGAATGTCTTACGTTAAATCACGGAATTATCTAAGTCCGTGGTTAAATAAGATAAAAGTGAAGAAAAACAGGGGGGGGGGGGGAATTATGTTGTGATAAGATTTAAAATTTGAAGATTTAAAATAGATTTTGTTAAATAGTATCACGGACTTAGATGTAATTCCGTGATAGTATAACTGTGTGTGAGGGAGGGGGTTCCTTTATTGTCTAACATGTATGAAAACAGATTCTGACTGGAGCGAGTGATGGAAGAGCAGAGCACCAGAATAATTGATTAACAACTTTTATATGTTGTTTGTTTATATTTCTTGTTCTGTGAGTCAGACGAGTTTTCCAACGTTAGATGTCAGAGTTAGTGACAAACGACATTTTGAAAAAAAAACATGAAAACACATTTATTTGGAAATGCTTATTCTGGGAGGTGTGTGTGTTTTCTATTTTCATATCAAAATTTATATTTGTCAGCTTATTAATAGACTTCGTGAGGTGTATATCGAACGCGGCCTTTAATAGGGGAAGATGTTGCCAACTCACCGTTTCCGGGATGCGTACAAACTTTGCGTACTTGTCTCTCAGGAATTGTGGGTAATGCATTCCATGCAAAACTTCACAACACTGGATGTTGTGAAAACTAAACACAGGTATGCTTAACATTTTTTCAGTTGAAAACCATTACAAAAATCTTGATATACCGGTGGTAAAATAATTGATACATCGTTGTAATGGGTTCATATGTAAATTTATGGATGTTACGCCTAATGTTCGTAAAACGATGAGTATTTACTATGTAAGTGCGTGTGTTGACAACTGGATCTACTGCAGAGTCTGATCAACATGGTAATCAGGGTTCGGGTATTGCTGATCCCTGGGATTCGGATTGCTTTGTAATTTTATTTAACTCAAAAGAATCCCTCTTGACACTTGAATACAGCAGGTCTACTCGAATGTGTTTGTCAGTAAAATGGTGGTAATGAAGATTCGCCGGTTAGGCAGGTACCTATAGTCTGAAATAACCCGACTTTAACGGCGAAAGTTCAAGAGTGGTTGGATGGTCAGGTATTTCAGACTAGATGACGATACAAGCTTTAAATAGTGGTTGATAGTCGTGATTTCTATGGCTGAACCACATTTATGTGACTTTGTAATAGTGTAGTAGGACGAGGAATATAGTGATAAAGATAGGGGTCGTAAAGATAGTGCCATCGCTTGGGCTCGAACCTGCGACCCTTGGCTCTCCAGCCTGATGCTTTACCGCTGAGCTTAAGGGAAATTCCCAACAGGTGACGCCTGTAAGGCAACCTTAAGTTGTCAATGCATATCTTTTACTATAGAAATTGTAAATTTGTGTTAGTCTGACTGTACTGTAGCTAGTAATAGTTTTTATACCCGGACGACACAATATATAAAAATTGTCTCATTGTCGGAAGCTACGTTAATCGCAGCTATACTGAGGCTGTAACATCTTATACAAGTTCTGAACTGCCGGAACATCTCGGTACACCCATACAATACAGCATGTTGTAATATTCAACACATACAGTAATATTGTTCTGCAAGACAACATTATTTCTATGATTGTACATATAAAAGAAATCAACATCATTTTTAGTGACAAATAAGTGCATACACTTTTTGTTGCATAACATCAAACATGGTCATTTATTGAAACCAATTAGTTTGTTTTAATTTCAGCCTTTCATTGTGAGCTTGATATTCAATGCCTCTAAAGTGTAACAATAATGAGTTCTAGAGAACGTGGATGGCAGGCTATACTCTAAGTAGATAATTATTAATTATTATGTAATATATATAGTCTGTCATTTGTGCTGCATAAACCCAATTTCATGACAAAATCTTCAATAAGTTGAAGGTGGTCACTATATGGTAGAACTAGAACTATATTTGAGTGATAAGTTTTACCATTCACATCAACACAGTTTTAAAATTTGGGTCAACCAGAAGCTGGAAAACCACTGAAATCTGATGAAAATGCACAAAAAAGTATACATCCTCGTCAAATTGTCTCAAAGGGACATTATGAGACACGCTGTACTTACAGTGGAACTCCAGAGCTATTAATAGGACATGATGGTGAAACTGGGGAACACATGTCTGTTCTTTTTTAATTAAATCAGTGTAGCACAAGGGTGTACAGCTAGTACATTTAATAATTAAAGTCAGTGTAACATGAGTGTGTACAGCTAGTACATTTAATAATTAAATCAGTGTAACACAAGGGTGTACCGCTAGTACATTAAATACTTAAATCAGTGTAACACAAGAGTGTACAGCTAGTACATTTAATAATTAAATCAGTGTAACACAAGAGTGTACAGCTAGTACATTTAGTACTTAAATCAGTGTAACACAAGGGTGTACCGCTAGTACATTAAATACTTAAATCAGTGTAACACAAGAGTGTACAGCTAGTACATTTAGTACTTAAATCAGTGTAACACAAGGGTGTACAGCTAGTACATTTAGTACTTAAATCAGTGTAACACAAGGGTGTACAGCTAGTACATTTAATAATTAAATCAGTGTAACACAAGTGTGTACAGCTAGTACATTAAATAATTAAATCAGTGTAACACAAGGGTGTACAGCTAGTACATTCAACACTTAAATCAGTGTAACACAACAGTGTACAGCTAGTACATTTAATTAAATCAGTGTAACACAAGGGTGTACAGCTAGTACATTTAGTACTTAAATCAGTGTAACACAAGAGTGTACAGCTAGTACATTTAATAATTAAATCAGTGTAACACAAGGGTGTACAGCTAGTACATTAAATACTTAAATCAGTGTAACACAAGGGTGTACAGCTAGTACATTTAATAATTAAATCAATGTAACACAAGGGTTTAAAGCTAGTACATTTAATACATGGAGACCGCTGAAATTTTCAAAAAATTACGATGAAATGGTTGAATTTCTTTTTAATCTGTCTGAAAGCTAGTACTTTAAATGTAAAATTGTACATAAATTTAAATCTGATAGTGAGATGAAGTTAATAAGTGATATCTTTGTGTGTATAGAACTATTCACTAGTCTTTTGATTTGTTTCTGGTGAATACAGAATACTATTTTGTCTGAAGAGGAATTGTAAGTAATCAAATTGTGTGTCAGCTGTTGTAATCAACCTAAAAGTGTACTATATATATATATACATATAATACAATGTATGTACGTATAGTAAAACCTTGTTAGTTGGTATCCCGTTTGGTTTTGGAAAGAACATCATTAATTATAGCAATTTTCTAATCAATTCATCTGTTATTGTCATGATCACCTAACAGAGAATATTTCGTTAAAAATATCTGGAAAGTTAGTTTCTCGTCATACTGACATACATATCATTTAATTGGGGGAACAATGGTGATTTGTTTTCAAAAACAAGTTTTAAAGTTTGTTTATTAGCTATTAACATCGGTGGGACTTCACTATATAGCTACGTACACTGTACTTGTGATAGAAATATGGCTATAAACTAATTTACATACAGTTGTTGTTGATTATGTTCTTAAAATAACACTACCTTGATTGTTGTACCCATGTCCAGTCTGTTTGTGTATAGGGAATAGTAAAAAGGTACTGTGTGATGAATTGAGGTTCTGTAAAGTGATAAAAAGATTAAGTAACAAAGTACATCCTAGTAGATTCCCTCTGTTATCCTGACAACATTTTCTGTTTAAAAATTCACTTGTTGATTGTTTTTGGTTGAAAAAAGTAATTCAACTGCACTGTTTTATTTCGAAAATATTGTTATGAAATTGCTGTAAAAATGTGTTTTTTTGAAAATTAAATAATACAAGTAAACATTTGGAATCTATTGATCCATTTCCTGTAAAACATTATATCCATTGTATATTGTGTATGATATATATTCAGGTGATATATTTCCTCCTCTTTATAATGTTAGTTCTGTGACATGCAGTACCAGAGCGTATTATCTATATTACATGTGGTATCAATTGTAACTTTATATGTATTTACTCAGCTTATTCAGATGCTTGGATGCTGCTCAAGCGGCTAATAAGTATGTCATTATCAATGCTGTAACTGATTCTAAGATTCTGATATTGTAACAGAGTGCTCATCTTGCTTTGATCCTGAACATAGATTGAAATAACTTGCTACTTTACCTATGTATAAAATATCAATATTTTAGTTCCAATGTGCCCATCCTGATGCATCCATCACGTGGATGCCTAACGACTTTCTAATTTCTACAGTTCAAAGAGAACTTAGGCTGCGAGTAAATTGTATAAACCTGTGATTTTGATGTTGATCAGGTGTGTCTGTGTTTTCCAGTTCACCGTTCCTGTTATGAATCGTATGAACATGATGGAACAGGTACATCTGGCTGGGGAGGATGAGGAGGATATCTACTCCGGGTTTAATGACTACAATGCTACCTTAGATACAGAGGTGAGTACTAGGTGAACAGTAGTATGGTTTACTGTCATTCTTTTCTAATATTAACCACCTATATTTTCATCAATTCAGCTCTCAAAGTTTATCTGTACAAATTTAAAAGCACAGTGCACAGATATACAATGTTTTAATGAAGGTATTAATAAAGCTGTTTATAGAAGATTATAAAACTATAAGTAAATCAGTGTTATCCCTAGTAGATTATATAACTATAAGTAAATCAGTGTTATCCCTAGTAGATTATACAACTATAAGTAAATCAGTGTTATTCCTAGTAAATTATACAACTATAGTAAATCAGTGTTATTCCTAGTAAATTATACAACTATAAGTAAATCAGTGTTATTCCTAGTAAATTATACAACTTTAGTAAATCAGTGTTATTCCTAGTAAATTATACAACTTTAGTAAATCAGTGTTATTCCTAGTAAATTATACAACTTTAGTAAATCAGTGTTATTCCTAGTAAATTATGCAACTATAGTAAATCAGTGTTGGCCCTAGTAGATTATACAACTAGAAGTAAATCAGTGTTATCCCTAGCAGATTATACAACTATAAGTAAATCAGTATTATCCCTAGTAGATTATACACCTATAGTAAATCAGTGTTATCCCTACTAGATTATATAACTATAAGTAAATCATGATCAGTGTTATCACTAGTAGATTATATAACTATAAGGGATAACACTGATCATGATTTACTTATATAACTATAAGTAAATCAGTGTTATCCCTAGTAGATTATATAACTATAAGTAAATCATGATCAGTGTTATCCCTAGTAGATTATATAACTATAAGTACATCAGTGTTATCTCTACTGTTGATATGGTTCCATTTATTGTTTATATGTTACAGAGGTGTTTTCGCGTTTCTTCTTTTCAAGTCGTGAAAAATATTATGATGAAACTTGATCAAGTATACACCCACATCATCCACAGAAAGTGTGTAGTGCACTGTAAAGAGGTCACTGTGACCTTCACCTTAATTAAGTAAAATAAGCAGAAAATAATTTCAATGAAATTAATATAACTTTGAAGCTAAATTCTTTTGAAATCTAAAGTACTCCTACAGTACATACCCAGAAAATGTATGGTGCACTACATGCATGTAAGTCAGATATGCTGACTTTTACCTCTTGTTCAAATGTCAAATAAGATCAAAACAAATATGAATATTGGTAATAAGGTTGTGACATGTTTTCATTCACAAAAAACAAATGTCTAGTTCCTGCTGTCTGGCTACCTGTAAGATACAGAAGTGACATTCCTAGTTTATATGGTTACACTGTAAGTTACAGAAATGACATTCCTAGTTTATATGGTTTCAATATATGTTACAGAAGTGACATCCCTAGTTTATATGGTTACACACTAACTTACAGAAGTGTTATTTCTAGTTTATATTGTTACACTGTAAGTTATAGAAGTGACATTCCTAGATTATATGGTTACACAGTAACTTACAGAAGAGTTATTTCTAGTTTATATGGTTTCACTCTAAGTTACAGAAGTGACATTCCTAGTTTATATGGTTACACTGTAAGTTATAGAAGTGACATTCCTAGTTTATATGGTTACACTATATGTTACAGAAGTGACATTCCTAGTTTATATGGTTACACTGTAAGTTACAGAAGTGACATTCCTAGTTTATATGGTTACACTGTAAGTTACAGAAGTGACATTCCTAGTGTATATGGTTACACAGTAACTTACAGAAGTGTTATTTCTAGTTTATATGGTTACACTGTAAGTTACAGAAGTGACATTCCTAGTTTATATGGTTACACTGTAAGTTACAGAAGTGACATTCCTAGTTTATATGGTTACACTGTAAGTTACAGAAGTGACATTCCTAGTTTATATGGTTACACTGTAAGTTACAGAAGTGACATTCCTAGTTTATATGGTTACACTGTAAGTTACAGAAGTGACATTCCTAGTTTATATGGTTACACTGTAAGTTACAGAAGTGACATTCCTAGTTTATATGGTTACACTGTAAGTTACAGAAGTGACATTCCTAGTTTATATGGTTACACTGTAAGTTACAGAAGTGACATTCCTAGTTTATATGGTTACACTGTAAGTTACAGAAGTGACATTCCTAGTTTATATGGTTACACTGTAAGTTACAGAAGTGACATTCCTAGTTTATATGGTTACACTGTAAGTTACAGAAGTGACATTCCTAGTTTATATGGTTACACTGTAAGTTACAGAAGTGACATTCCTAGTTTATATGGTTACACTGTAAGTTACAGAAGTGACATTCCTAGTTTATATGGTTACACTGTAAGTTACAGAAGTGACATTCCTAGTTTATATGGTTACACTGTAAGTTACAGAAGTGACATTCCTAGTTTATATGGTTACACTGTAAGTTACAGAAGTGACATTCCTAGTTTATATGGTTACACTGTAAGTTACAGAAGTGACATTCCTAGTTTATATGGTTACACTGTAAGTTACAGAAGTGACATTCCTAGTTTATATGGTTACACTGTAAGTTACAGAAGTGACATTCCTAGTTTATATGGTTACACTGTAAGTTACAGAAGTGACATTCCTAGTTTATATGGTTACACTGTAAGTTACAGAAGTGACATTCCTAGTTTATATGGTTACACTGTAAGTTACAGAAGTGACATTCCTAGTTTATATGGTTACACTGTAAGTTACAGAAGTGACATTCCTAGTTTATATGGTTACACTGTAAGTTACAGAAGTGACATTCCTAGTTTATATGGTTACACTGTAAGTTACAGAAGTGACATTCCTAGTTTATATGGTACACTGTAAGTTCCAGAAGTGACATTCCTAGCTTATATGGTTACACTGTAAGTTACAGAAGAGTTATTCCTTGTTTATATGATTACACTGTAAGTTACAGAAGTGACATTCCTTGTTTATATGATTACACTGTACATTACAGGATCTACAACATGACCCAACTTTCCAGAAGGCGGTGATGAGGACCAGTCATGGCCGACGACCCCCACCTGTAAGTTAACAGTATGACAGCTAGCTAGTGATAAAGGAAACTCATCATGTTTGCTCTAATGTAATATTGAAGATTTTTGTTGGTAATAATTATATTTGTAAATAACAGTATTTGTTGGATTTAAATTAATGTTTTGTGTGTGAAATTTGCATGTACATGGAAACATGATCAGCAGTAGTTACCATTAATAAACCATACTTCAGAACTCCATTTTACAGTGAGCAAATTTTCATTCATTTACAGTTTTTGAGAATTTTTCAGAAGGTATATTTAGAATAAACATACTAAATATTACAGACATTTGATCCTGATAATTTTTTTTATTATCTTTGTTGATACTGTATGTTTCCATATCAAATTGAAACAAAAAAACCTCTGGGGACTCTTATTACTGTCTGCTTGAGACCCAGGTTTTACAATAGGCTACTGCCAACACCAATCTGATTGAGTGAACACTGATAGTACAGTACATGTACTTGTAGAAAATGTTAAATGATAATTAATCAGATGGTGTGGTACATATACTGTTAAGGTTGGAGGAGATGGTACCTGTACTGTAGATAGTGTTAAATGAGATGGTTTGGTACATATACTGTTAAGGTTGGAGGAGATGGTACCTGTACTGTAGATAATGTTAAATGAGATGGTTTGGTACATATACTGTTAAGGTTGGAGGAGATGGTACCTGTACTGTAGATAATGTTAAATGAGATGGTTTGGTACATATACTGTTAAGGTTGGAGGAGATGGTACCTGTACTGTAGATAATGTTAAATGAGATGGTTTGGTACATATACTGTTAAGGTTTGAGGAGATGGTACCTGTACTGTAGATAATGTTAAATGAGATAGTTTGGTACATATACTGTTAAGGTTTGAGGAGATGGTACCTGTACTGTAGATAATGTTAAATGAGATAGTTTGGTACATATACTGTTAAGGTTTGAGGAGATGGTACCTGTACTGTAGATAATGTTAAATGAGATAGTTTGGTACATATACTGTTAAGGTTTGAGGAGATGGTACCTGTACTGTAGATAATGTTAAATGAGATAGTTTGGTACATATACTGTTAAGGTTTGAGGAGATGGTACCTGTACTGTAGATAATGTTAAATGAGATAGTTTGGTACATATACTGTTAAGGTTTGAGGAGATGGTACCTGTACTGTAGATAATGTTAAATGAGATAGTTTGGTACATATACTGTTAAGGTTTGAGGAGATGGTACCTGTACTGTAGATAATGTTAAATGAGATAGTTTGGTACATATACTGTTAAGGTTTGAGGAGATGGTACCTGTACTGTAGATAATGTTAAATGAGATAGTTTGGTACATATACTGTTAAGGTTTGAGGAGATGGTACCTGTACTGTAGATAATGTTAAATGAGATAGTTTGGTACATATACTGTTAAGGTTTGAGGAGATGGTACCTGTACTGTAGATAATGTTAAATGAGATAGTTTGGTACATATACTGTTAAGGTTTGAGGAGATGGTACCTGTACTGTAGATAATGTTAAATGAGATAGTTTGGTACATATACTGTTAAGGTTTGAGGAGATGGTACCTGTACTGTAGATAATGTTAAATGAGATAGTTTGGTACATATACTGTTAAGGTTTGAGGAGATGGTACCTGTACTGTAGATAATGTTAAATGAGATAGTTTGGTACATATACTGTTAAGGTTTGAGGAGATGGTACCTGTACTGTAGATAATGTTAAATGAGATAGTTTGGTACATATACTGTTAAGGTTTGAGGAGATGGTACCTGTACTGTAGATAATGTTAAATGAGATAGTTTGGTACATATACTGTTAAGGTTTGAGGAGATGGTACCTGTACTGTAGATAATGTTAAATGAGATAGTTTGGTACATATACTGTTAAGGTTTGAGGAGATGGTACCTGTACTGTAGATAATGTTAAATGAGATAGTTTGGTACATATACTGTTAAGGTTTGAGGAGATGGTACCTGTACTGTAGATAATGTTAAATGAGATATTTTGGTACATATACTGTTAAGGTTTGAGGAGATGGTACCTGTACTGTAGATAATGTTAAAGGAGATAGTTTGGTACATATACTGTTAAGGTTTGAGGAGATGGTACCTTTTCTGTAGATAATGTTTAATGAGATAGTTTGGTACATATACTGTTAAGGTTGGAGGAGATGGTACCTGTACCGTAGATAGTGTTAAATGAGATGGTTTGGTACATATACTGTTAAGGCTTGAGGAGATGGTACCTGTACTGTAGATAATGTTTAATGAGATAGTTTGGTACATATACTGTTAAGGTTGGAGGAGATGATAACTGTACTGTAGATAATGTTAAATGAGATATTTTGGTACATATACTGTTAAGGTTTGAGGAAATGGTACCTGTACTGTAGATAATGTTAAATGAGATGGTTTGGTACACATACTGTTAAGGTTTGAGGAGATGGTACCTGTACTGTAGATAGTGTTAAATGAGATGGTTTGGTACATATTCTGTTAAGGTTTGAGGAGATGGTACCTGTACTGTAGATATTGTTAAATAAGATAGTTTGGTACATATACTGTTAAGGTTGGAGGAGATGATACCTGTACTGTCGATAATGTTAAATGAGATATTTTGGTACATATACTGTTAAGGTTTGAGGAAATGGTACCTGTACTGTAGATAATGTTAAATGAGATGGTTTGGTACATATACTGTTAAGGCTTGAGGAGATGGTACCTGTACTGTAGATAATGTTAAAGGAGATAGTTTGGTACATATACTGTTAAGGTTGGAGGAGATGGTACCTGTACCGTAGATAGTGTTAAATGAGATAGTTTGGTACATAGACTGTTAAGGTTGGAGGAGATGATACCTGTACTGTCGATAATGTTAAATGAGATAGTTTGGTACATATTCTGTTAAGGTTGGACCGTAGATAGTGTTAAATGAGATGGTTTGGTACATATTCTGTTAAGGTTTGAGGAGATGGTACCTGTACTGTAGATAGTGTTAAATGAGATGGTTTGGTACATATTCTGTTAAGGTTTGAGGAGATGGTACCTGTACTGTAGATAATGTTAAATGAGATGGTTTGGTACACATACTGTTAAGGTTTGAGGAGATGGTACCTGTACTGTAGATATTGTTAAATGAGATAGTTTGGTACATATACTGTTCAGGTTTGAGTAAGGTTGGAGGAGATGGTACCTGTACTGTAGATACTGTTAAATGAGATGGTTTGGTACATATACTGTTAAGGCTTGAGGAGATGGTACCTGTACTGTAGATAATGTTTAATGAGATAGTTTGGTACATATACTGTTAAGGTTGGAGGAGATGATAACTGTACTGTAGATAATGTTAAATGAGATATTTTGGTACGTATACTGTTAAGGTTTGAGGAGATGGTACCTTTTCTGTAGATAATGTTTAATGAGATAGTTTGGTACATATACTGTTAAGGTTGGAGGAGATGGTACCTGTACCGTAGATAGTGTTAAATGAGATGGTTTGGTACATATTCTGTTAAGGTTTGAGGAGATGGTACCTGTACTGTAGATAGTGTTAAATGAGATAGTTTGGTACATAGACTGTTAAGGTTGGAGGAGATGATACCTGTACTGTCGATAATGTTAAATGAGATATTTTGGTACATATACTGTTAAGGTTTGAGGAAATGGTACCTGTACTGTAGATAATGTTAAATGAGATAGTTTGGTACAGGTACATATACTGTTAAGGTTGGAGGAGATGGTACCTGTACCGTAGATAGTGTTAAATGAGATAGTTTGGTACATATTCTGTTAAGGTTGGACCGTAGATAGTGTTAAATGAGATGGTTTGGTACATATTCTGTTAAGGTTTGAGGAGATGGTACCTGTACTGTAGATAGTGTTAAATGAGATAGTTTGGTACATATTCTGTTAAGGTTGGAGGAGATGGTACCTGTACTGTAGATACTGTTAAATGAGATGGTTTGGTACATATACTGTTAAGGCTTGAGGAGATGGTACCTGTACTGTAGATAATGTTAAATGAGATAGTTTGGTACATATACTGTTCAGGTTTGAGGAGATGGTACCTGTACCGTAGATAGTGTTAAATGAGATAGTTTGGTACATATTCTGTTAAGGTTGGAGGAGATGGTACCTGTACTGTAGCTAATGTTAAATAAGATAGTTTGGTACAGATACTGTTAAGGTTGGAGGAAATGGTACCTGTACTATAGATAATGTTAAATGAGATAGTTTGGTACGTATACTGTTAAGGTTTGAGGAAATGGTACCTGTACTGTAGATAATGTTAAATGAGATAGTTTTGTACATATACTGTTAAGGTTTGAGGAGATGGTACTTGTACTGTAGATAATGTTAAATAAGATAGTTTGGCACAGATACTGTTAAGGTTGGAGGAGATGGTACCTGTACTATAGATAATGTTAAATGAGATAGTTTGGTACGTATACTGTTAAGGTTTGAGGAAATGGTACCTGTACTGTAGATAATGTTAAATGAGATAGTTTTGTACATATACTGTTAAGGTTTGAGGAGATGGTACCTGTACTGTAGATAATGTTAAATAAGATAGTTTGGTACAGATACTGTTAAGGTTGGAGGAGATGGTACCTGTACTATAGATAATGTTAAATGAGATAGTTTGGTACGTATACTGTTAAGGTTTGAGGAAATGGTACCTGTACTGTAGATAGTGTTAAATGAGATAGTTTGGTACATATTCTGTTAAGGTTGGAGGAGATGGTACCTGTACTATAGATAATGTTAAATGAGATAGTTTGGTACGTATACTGTTAAGGTTTGAGGAAATGGTACCTGTACTGTAGATAGTGTTAAATGAGTTAGTTTGGTACATATTCTGTTAAGGTTGGAGGAGATGGTGCCTGTACTGTAGACATACACTGTTAAGGTTGGAGGAGATGGTACCTGTAGTATAGATAATGTTAAATGAGATAGTTTGGTACGTATACTGTTAAGGTTTGAGGAAATGGTACCTGTACTGTAGATAGTGTTAAATGAGTTAGTTTGGTACATATTCTGTTAAGGTTGGAGGAGATGGTGCCTGTACTGTAGACATACACTGTTAAGGTTGGAGGAGATGGTACCTGTACCGTAGATAATGTTAAATGAGATGGTTTGGTACATATACTGTTAAGGTTTGAGGAGATGGTACCTGTACTGTATATAATGTTAAATGAGATAGTTTGGTACATACACTGTTAAGGTTGGAGGAGATGGTCCCTGTACTGTAGATAGTGTTAAATGAGATGGTTTGGTACATATACTGTTAAGGTTGGAGGAGATGGAACCTGTACCGTAGATAGTGTTAAATGAGATAGTTTGGTACATATACTGTTAAGGTTGGAGGAGATGGTACCTGTACCGTAGATAGTGTTAAATGAGATAGTTTGGTACATATACTGTTAAGGTTTGAGGAGATGGTACCTGTACTGTATGATTTCCTTTGATAGCCTATCAAGCGTATGAAGCTGACCAGGGTAAGATATGCTGTTTGTTCTCAGATGTTCATTGTTCATCATGTTCATTGTTGGATAACCTGTATTAGAATTGATTTTTATATAAAGTTTGTGAGTTTAATGAAGGTTACAGATTTTTTTGTCTGTGAATGTTTTTTATTATCACTTGTTTTTTGCTTTTCTACTCAGTTTAAAAGATTTTTCAACATACGTGTTCCATGATTTTTAAGAATAGCTGAATAGATAAATATCTTGCAATCTGCGCTTGTCAATGATACTTGATCATTACATACAAATTACATTCAAATAGTAGCAATGTAACGAAATTCAACCATTTTCTTATTATTTAGAATTTTCTTGTGAATAAGCAGAATTGTTGGTTCAAGTATTGTACTTTCTACTCTGTGTTACAGACAGCTTCTAAGGGTTTGGCTGTTGGAGGTGCTGCAGCTGGAGCGAGGCTGGGAACAGCAGCACGAGGCCGTGCAGGGGTTCCGTCCTCCATGGGACGTCTTCAGACTGGGGCAGTGGCCGGGGGAGGCACTGACATGGCCAGACCCATGACAGCTGTCAGGGCTGCAGGTTATACATCTGTAGGGAACCGAGGAGCAGGGTTTGACCCCATGAATCAAGGGAATAAGGGCCCAGCTCCACCTCTGGAACCTAAGCCAGAGGACAGGTGAGGCAAACACATGGAGTCCTGATATAATCCTCTACTACAGAATTCTGACACAGATAATCAACAACAGGACAAATTCAGCCAAACACTGTCAGAAACAAATCAATATCAAAGTTAATTTAATGACTTAATCTTCTCTTAACCAATTAATGGAATGTATATCTGGTAACATTTTAGTTGAAAAGAAACAAGAAAGTGATATGCATCATGAAATAGTTTCAAATGATTGTCTATAAACTTTAAACATCTGGTTGCAGTCCTGAGGAGAAGATCAGACAGCTGGAAAAGAAAGTGAACACATTGATTGAGGAGAGCTGTTTCGCCAACAGTCGAGGAGAATTCAGTCTGGTAAGTAGTCCGGCCGACAGTCGAGGAGAATTCAGTCTGGTAAGTAGTCCGGCCAACAGTCGGGGAGAATTCAGTCTGGTAAGTAGTCCGGCCAAACAGTCGAGGAGAATTCAGTCTGGTAAGTAGTCCAGCCAACAGCCGAGGAGAATTCAGTCAGGTAAGTAGTCCGGCCAACAGTCGAGCAGAATTCAGTCTGGTAAGTAGTCCAGCCGACAGTCGAGGACAATTCAGTCTGGTAATTAGTCCGGCCTTACAGTCGAGGAGAATTTAATCTGGTAATTAGTCCGGCCTAACAGTCGAGGAGAATTCAGTCTGGTAATTAGTCCGGCCAACAGCCGAGGAGAATTCAGTCAGGTAAGTAGTCCGGCCAACAGTCGAGCAGAATTCAGTCTGGTAAGTAGTCCAGCCGACAGTCGGGGACAATTCAGTCTGGTAATTAGTCCGGCCTAACAGTCGAGGAGAATTCAGTCTGGTAAGTAGTCCGGCAGTAAAGAGTTCAGTGTAAAGTGGTCAGGTAAACAACAGTCGAGGAGAATTCAGTCTGGTAAGTAGTCCGGCAGTAAAGAGTTCAGTGTAAAGTGGTCGGGTAAACAACAGTCGAGGAGAATTCAGTC